AATCGTAACACAAGAAGCATAATCCGCGTCGTCATTGTTGTGATTGGCATCAACGCGCTTGAAAATTGAGAGTCCTCGCTCTTTCGCCAAAAGGGAATGTTGAGCTTGTGCTGACTCACAACATTGCGTTCAGCATTACTGCCGAAGGCAGGTGGCTTGTCCATGTCATCATCGGGATCGCTGTCAATGTCGTCATCATTTGCTTCGAACATCATATCTCCAACGATGACGTCAACAATATTCTTCGCGATGTCGAACATCATTTCACGCTCAACGCCAAGAGAAGATGAAGGAAAGTGCACCTTAATCGAGTTCTTAAACGAGACCGAAACATCATCAAAGAAGGCCTTCCAATCATCAGATGAGTCAAGGCGCTTGTACTCCATCCACTTTGATGGATGCTGACCGGAAACATGGTTCTCGATGTTGTCGTAGCGAAAGGGGCGAATCCATCCCTGAACATCGGTCGAAGGCTTGTGCTTGGCACCCACCTTCTCCTCCCGACTAAATGCGATGTAGAACCAGCATTGCAGACCATTCAACTTGATTGAGTATTACGGGTCCTTGGACGAAACTCTCAAGCCAAAGCGGTCGTCATTGGCCTTGACATACTCACTTGCCCGTTTAGACGCCATGGTAAACCTCCAACAACGCGTAATAACCAACCTTTCAAATAGACGCCGCGGCGGAGTTTATTTTAGGTAATTTAGGCGGCGGGGCATCGGTCACCTACATTAAGCAGGCATGGGTATAACAATAGGTGGCATACTTCAACAAGAATGTGAGAATGGATGACATCCAGTTGCTTTCTATTCTTGAAATTTGATGGCGGCGTAACAAAATTATCACACGACAGTATGAGAGGAGTTAATCATATTGTTGGTTCTGATACCATTGTAACACTAGGGTTTAGAGAGAAGTTCACTCGAAGATAGAAACGTAAACTCTGAAGATGAGAGATACCAACAATGGTTCTCCTCTCCCTTATATAGCTATCACCAACAAATACAAGGACATAAGATCTTATCCCCACCATCCAGCTCACTCCTAGTGAATAGATGATGTGGCGGATAACCCTAACAAGCACATGGATCACTACAGTGGCGCTCCCAACTAACACACTCAATTCTTACCTAATAAGCACACGGATCACTGACATGGCGCTGTCAACTAGCACATCTACTCTCTACCTACAAAGCGTGCGGATCGCTGACGTGGCAGCTACGACTAATGTACTCTAAAGTATCTATATCAACATTTAGAGTAAACTTTACTTTAGTTCCTACTAACTAAATATGTTTACAAGTCATAACCATTTGTAAACTTTTGGTCATAGTTCATAACCAGAACTAAACTTTACTAGATTTTGATTAAGATATCTTCTGTATGACATTTAATGCTATGACAAATGAATAATTTGTATTTGTCAATCTTATATGATAGTAATTTTTTATTTCTCATAGTTAAATTTTTATTCAAATTTTTGTGAACATTGTGTTATTGACAAACAACTTTTTTAGAAACTTATTCAAAAACCTCACTCTTTAGCAAATTTACTTTGTGGCATTTATTGATGATTATTCAAAATTTGTGTGAATTCACTTCCTCTCACAAAAGTTTGAGCTCTTTACAACTTTTAAATATTTCAAAAGTCCAGGTTAAAACTTAAACTTGACATATTTATGTAAAATATTTATGTATGTATATTGTCGTTCAATTACTACTAATGTATTTTGAAATTATTACAAAGAAGAAGATAAAAACCTGTCATTTCATCACGTTTTATATTCCATAGTAGAATGTTGTTTTTGAGATACTCAATCCAATGGTGCTTGAGAAGTTGCGCAATATGTTGCATCAATCTGGTTTATTATATGAATTTTGAACTTAATTTTTCAAAATCTCAATATACTTGATAAATTATTTTTTCTAATGCAATCAATTTCTTGACACGATTTGAATTGAATCTCAATGGCATGACTGATTAGAATCATTTGAGATTTTTTGATTGTGTGATTTGTACTCTTATATTTAGGCAAAATAGAACCAAATTGAATCATACATCCAATAGAATATTTTTTTTGATATGTTAGTTGTATGAAAAAATCATAGATGATGAGATTTAGTAGTCTTAAGATTATTATCAAAAAGGACGTTTTTTTCAATGAGTCAAGATCATTGAAAAATAAAGATATGTTCCAAACTTCACGTATTTACAAGTAAAAATCTCAACTCACTAATGTTGTTAAAGAGAAAATTGATCATTATATGATTTAAGATCAAAGATTTGACATAAAAAGAAGTTTGGTATAAATGGAGCAAACTTATGAAGAGCCATTTATCGTTGATGAGCTTTAAATATTTGCATTAGACAAAAAGCTAATATTTTCTACTATGAAATTATCAAATTGAATTTGTAAGATTCTTGTAAGATATGAATCATGAGCATATTCATACATTATTGAATACTACGATTTTGATACAAATTATGATGATAGTATTGCATTAATCTTAGAAGAAGAACAAACTTTTTGTATAACAAAATTTTGTAACTTGTAGAATGTTAACACACAGGTATGAACTTTAATGAAATTTTTATCACCTTAAGTATAATGTATTACATATCAAATGATATATGCATTTTTTAGAATATTTAGTATTGTTATGAATCAGATGTATGTAGTTAGTGCATTTTTTATGAATCTCTAGAGGAGTTAATCTACATGAGAGAACCACTCAGTTATGAGATCAAAGTTCAAGAAAAGGTAGTTGTAGATTATTGAAATTATATAAGATCCAAACCATAGTTGAAGCAAGTTTAAGAAGTGTACTGCAAGGTTTGATGAGTTCATGAAAGCACAATGATTTTCAAGTAGTGCGTATAATTTATGTGTATTTAAAAAATAATGAATAATAAGATCTTCAATCTCATTATGAGATGCAAAAACCAATTGAATTTTGCATTTAAAATGAAAGATTTGGCTAAATTCAAAAGAATATTTGAAATTGTTGTTCATAAAAATTTGGAAAGGAAACAATTATGCTTCAATCAAGGTAAGTATATCAAACTGTGCGCTTGGCAGATCAAGCATGGTAAACTTTGAAGAAGTATGGACTTCCTTGGCATCATACTTCAATTTTTTCTGCAATTCAATGCTAGTGAAAAAAAAATGTCATCAATTTACTATGACAAAGTTGCAAGAAAAGTCATTTATTTGATAGTATTCACAAGTCATGCTATTGTTCTATCTATAATCAAGGTGAGCATAACATGTCAAATCCAAAGAATGTGCATTGAGATCAATGAAATTGTATCTATGATACCCAAATTTTTTTAAAATTATGATTTATTTTTTGATGGTTTATTAAACAATGTCAAATCCTTGCTATGGTACATTGATGTTGACTATAGACAAAAAGATAAATGTTTACTATTGATGATCCATGTAAGTGTAGAAAATGTATTTCGCAGAAGTACGTAGCTCTGTACACAATAGAAGTTTAATATATAATACTAGCAAAAGCAACAAAGTAAACTATTTAGTTAGATAAATTTGTCACTGATATAAAATTAAAATACAAGGTTGTAAATCTTTATAATGACACTCAAAAAGTATTACAAGTTGCTTAAACTTAAGTGATTGATAGTAAAGTGAAACACATCAACATAAGATATAATTTCATCAAACATGTAGTTTTCTCATCAAAAGATTGAAATAGTCAAGATTTATGTAAGCTATTTTTTTTGAATGTTTTAGTATACATTGTGCCACTGTGCAGCACAAATAGAAATCACTAGCATTTTTGTTACTTTTTATATTTTTTACTCTATCATGTTTTGGTTTCCGTTTAGTATTGATTAGCTATAGTTTAAAGAGTAATCTTCTTAGATTTCATTTATGGATATTCCGCAATATATATATATATATATAAAGTTATATTAATATTTGATGGAGATTATTGTCGATTTAATACGAATTAAGGGAAGATTCTTAATGATAACTCAAATTGGTTTTTTTTCTAAAATACCCAAATTAAAATTTTAGAACTTTTATCTATTCGGACTGCAATGTACGACAAGAACTAATTCTCTCTTTAGCATTGTATTAGTTTTTTAGCAAGAGGCGAATCGAGTACCTTCAACGTAAAAGTTGCTTGTAGTGTGGTGTATCTCTTAATGTTTATTGTGAATTCTGGGGATGAGTTTGTTGATTCTTTTGCAGGAAAAGTTAGCAGTTGCATGGGAGTATATAGTCTAAGAATATGATTCTTTCAATTACTTGAAGTAGTAGTATGTCGACACAATGAAAACATCACCTGGCTTGATAAGCATGCGCACATCATCACAAGTAACCACAAAGTCAATGGAGCATATGATGATGAATGGAGCTAATAAAGTATTGAAGATCTTTATATTGTCAAAAGATTACGTATTTTCTGGAATTGAAATAAGAATAGAACCATATCAACAAACCGATGGAAGTGATGTTTTCGGACGGACGCTTATGAGAATGTGTTCGCATAACGTGGGGAATATCCTCGTAGGGGAAAAAAAACAGATTCTAGATTAATCCCGATAACTGGTACCATACCGTATTAGAATTGGGGCATACGAAATCCGTATATTGATCAAACTGATCAACTTCAGAAAAACTGATGTTGGGATACTGAATCTCTTGTCGGGTCGTGGTCCGCGTAGATCCCTCTCTTCCAGTAGACAGACCGTTGAGTAGCCGGTTGAAGCCGGCAAATGTACAGGGAGGCTCTCAGACAAAGCGAAAGCGAGGGAATGATGGTCTCTTGCGAGCGTTAAGTTCGGTAATGTCCCTCTCGCTTTATCCAGTTCACAGGACCCAGAGTGTGAAACGGCCGAGACGGACCACATGAAGCTCAATTATGGAGGGAACTGGTTTCCCACGAAACTGGGAGGCTCGAATTCCCTCCCCATCGCTCCCGCGCTGGCATTCAAACCTCGAGCTCTCTCTCTGCTCTTCCCTCCTCTCTTCCCAGCGTCTTCCCTCTCCCTACCGTCTACTGGAGCTCCGGGTCGTGAACTTTTTCTTCCTCGTTCCGTGCATTGATTGCAGTGACTGGTTGGGGGCTGCGCAGAGCTCACGCTCCAGCGGACAGTTCAAATGTCTTCCCGATTCGGCAATTAGTCGCGGCTTCCGCTGCCTGGATGTCGCTCGTGGCTTTTCGCGCACTTCTGGAATTATTTATGAGCGGATCATGCGCGCGCTCTCCTCTCCCGCTTCCTTTTCCACTCCTCGCGCGCGCCACCGTCAGCACCGACGATTATGTCTCGCTCTCTTCGAGTGCCCACTTCGCTCATTTCCAGAGTCGACCCACGCGCGTTCCAGTCGTGCCTTCTGCATCTGGTGCTTGCGTTCTCGGCCTTGACTGTAGTCGAGGTTGTTGTGCTGAAGTGTAGCACCTCGATATCTGCGCAGGAGTCCTTCCTGCTGTCGATGGTTGTTTGCTTCTCTGTTGACTCGATTGTGGGTCTTCTCGTCCTGAGATTCCTGTCTTCTCTCTTCCTTCCCGAGAACGTCGAGCGCTCTCGCTCTGTGCGACGCCTACTTCGACGCTCTCGTCGACTTTGCCGACGGATTGCTCGCCTTTTCTCGCGGTTAGGGAATAAGCTTGAAAGACACATTTGAGACTCGGGAAGCGGCCTGGAGGAGTTTACCGCTGCGTTTCTCACGTTCTGCGAGGCGTCGGAGAGCAATGACGTAACTCGGATGTGTTTCGGTTCAGGTTGATCTTCACGTCTCGAAGGTGCGTGGAGCTTGAAGCGTGAAGAGTCGTCGCCATGGGAAGAAGCCCCGGCTCTCGTCTCACTTCTGTCTCGGACTCGGTTCCTCCTAGGGCCGAGGCCACGTGAGGGCAGTCGAAGGATGCCAATTTCCCGAGAGTGATGTTCCTCTTGGCGCCTGCTGCAGCTACTGGCTTTTCTCACGTTGTCCCAACTGCTTCATCCGCCCCTCTTTTGTCCTTCTTCCTCGGTGAGACCTCTGGTTCGCTGCTCGAAGTGCCGGAAGTCTGGTCCCAAACGACTCTGCGAGCGCACCAGCATTGTGGATTTGGTCCAGGTTTTCCGTAGACTGGGCTTCTAAGGTTTTTTCTCAATCTAAAGTGACGAGACGGGACCATGGGCAAGCAGCAGAATCGTGCTCGGAAGGAGCCCAGCCCCGGAAAGAAGGTTTCAGACGTCGAAGCTGCGTACGTGGTTCAAAGCTATCTGATAGAAAAACAATTCACGAAAACTCTCGTGGACTTCCGAGTCGACGCCGCCTCGATACTGAATTCGTTGAAGAATGTGAGTTATTACAGCCAGATTGCGTACTGTTTTCCAAGTGTCGTCCCGACTCCGCCTCCAGCGGGAAAAATGGTTGAGTTATACCGAGTTTTAGTTCGTACCCTGTTACGTCACACGAGAAACCGCATTATATGAGGAATGTTGTTGAGTGTCACGCTATTAGCCTCATAAACTGAACATGAGGCCGTTGAAACTCCACAATTACGGGTTTATTTTCGCAGGGGTCGCTGTCCCACTTATTATGAAATATGATAGCACCCCTCCACATTTCATCTCGTCGTCGATGCATGCTGTGCGTGGATATGCCTGCATTGCGTAAGTGACGAGGCTTCAAAGCACAGACGATGAACCAACTGTTGTCCTTTTACCCTCAGCGTTCAAGTTTCATGGACCACTCCCACAGCATGTTTTGCTGTAACTGTCATGACAAACTGTCATAGAATTCTAATTTTTATGAGTTGACAATGCAGGCACCACCCGCAGTACGAAGTTTGACGACCATACTAAATGATTTTGTGACCCTGAGGGAAAAGCAGCAGGCTCTTCAGGAGGAAAACTCTAGGTTAGAACGATGTCTGAAGGAAGCTCAACAACTCATGCATCAAGAGAGATCCAGAATGAGTTCTCTTGTGCAAGGAGTGTACGAGTCTCTCGCTGCCTTCCAGTCAGGTTCTGGTGCCCATGGCACTTTAGCTCTACCCTCAATGTCGAGTACTCCCACCCACACAGCCGCCATCATGCAAGGTCAGCACCATCTTCTTTATTACATTTGAGCCTTAATCTATAGTGCACTCGCGCTATGCTCTAGCCAGGTTCTTGCCTGTGAGTGTCATTTTGCTCACATGTATCCTCTTTCTGCAGTCGTAATGTTGGGTTTTCACGTGCACGGCCCGTTCCAGTTTCCCGTCTGATGTTCAGCTCTCGCTCATGCTGCGCAGCCGGTCACAACACCCCGCCTGGTGCGGGTATGGTGGCCTCCAAATCACCTGGTGTTGTCAAGGAAATCAGCTCTGTTTCTGCTTCCAACAAGAGGAAAACTGCTTTGAACAGGACGCCACAGGATTCTCCTAGCCTCGACGCACCGGCCGCCAAAGCGATTGCCACGAAGAAACCACGTCAAACTGGTCAAGTTTCAGGTTAGTGCAGACATAGCTGCTCAAGTGCGCAGTTTTTGTCGTTCATTTGTCCTCCTACATGTTATAATTTACTGTTGATGAAATATAATCATGATGCGTGATTTCTAAACTTCATTCCACAGGTCCTGTCCAAGGTGGACCACCTTCACCGTGGATGTGCGGCATGGTGCGCAAAACCTCAATGCATATGGTGCGACCCGTGGTTCCAATACTTCAACAGCATGAAATGTGCATTCCTCCGCTGGCATCGAAGGCGCAGCAGTCAGGACGATCAGTGCCCTCTCCTCGCAGCAACGGTCCATTGGCAAATTCTCAATCTAAGCGACCTGCATCCAGCGATGGAAGTCTTCCAACGTTGCAAAATGACCAGCAGAGCTTGTCATCAGCTCTTCCCACCGTCCCTTGTGAAGAATCTGGCCCAGCAAGCGCAGACAAAGATCAGGCATGTGGTCAGGATCCCCACACTCCACCTCGTAACTCTACAAACACATCTTGTGCCGAGCAGTTGCCCATTCACTTGCAGAGCCCTGAAGGTAGCGCTCACAATCCGCATGTTATCATGACTCTGCCAACCACATATAGCTGTACACCCCCGTCGGCACTAGAAGATCAGTCACCGAATCATCCACGCGAGGAGAGGAGTGCCGATGTACAGTTGGTTTCGGAATCTAGTAGGCAATCTACTCCTGACAGTATCGGTAGTGACAGTACGAGGGAACAGTTCCACTTCAAGAAAGTGCCTTCCAGAACGATGCGACCGCTACATTTCAGTGATTCTACACCCAGCGCTCAGATTGCATCACCGGCGAGTCAATGTTCGCCGCCAACGATGTCCCCAGCACCCACGGAGTGTGAAGACACATCTACAGGTGCGCAAGCGGAGGAGACTTCTGAACACTCTGCGACAGACCTCTTTCTGATAGATGACATACTAGCGAGCTTGGACGATGCGTCCTTTTCATCCCTCGTTGGCGACATGCTTGGGACAGAAGAGATTACCATGAATGATATGGTCTCCAACTCTCAAACATACGGCGATGTAGATTTCTCGAATATTCAAAACGTGACAGAGAGGTGAGCGTCTTCCGTCCATTACGCCTTTTGCCTTTCGCCGTTCACCTACAGATATCCGGCAATTCCCTGAAGAACACTTATTGGATCTGAATAAATGGTAAAAGTTTTAACATGCGTCAGTCTTCTTTCATGCAGGCCTTCTGTTGGTGAAGACAGCTTTGGGTTCCAGTGCTTGTCAGATGCAGGGAAGTGTGAGAATGCAACAGATCCGTTGGTCAAGGGTCTGGTGACTCAAGACGATGATGTTAAGTACAGCGGTCCTTCGATCAGCACCAACGCCACTCAATGCTCCTCATCTCGACCTCTTGGCATTCTCTCCGCGAGAGATGCCAATCAAACTTCTCTGGGAAGCAGCCCCACTAAACGCGGTTCTGCGAATAGACCCTCTTCAAAGCGAGGTACGATATTTCTTGTGAAATATTCTCTGGTTGGTTTTGGTGCACGTTTCCATGGGATTTGTTTCTGACTTTGTCGCATAATTTTAGTCATGTGAAAACGTGACTGCGTTGATCAAAGCTACTTTGCCGCTCCCTGCTACCGTAGTTTCCTCAGTTTGACCGAAGCATCACTAGATATCTTAGTGTTTGCAATGCAGTTGCGCACTTTTGTCATTTTCGACTGACGAGTACAAATGTGTATGCAGAAATGAAATCAAAGCAAGCCTTTGGACAAGAGAACATCCCACTTCAAGATTTAGGCCAGACTTTAGACGTAGCCAACAGTTATATCACATGATTAGCACGAGTAGTACCTGGTGTAACCGGGTAAATTCATTGCAAGTAGACACACTTTGCTGGAACGACTCTGTTAGCGGATGGTGAAGCCTCCTGTGAGTTGTGAGATCTGCTGAGAGTCTAGAGTCGTGCAAAGAATCTAGCGAAGTAGAAAATTACATGGACCCTTTTTGTAGGTAGCTGTATAAAATTCGGGTATCCATTGCGGTAGATAGTATTAAAAGCGCGGAAGTCGTAACCTTTATGATGGTTACTTATTCACGTCTTGTCAGCAAGCCGTCCAAACGTATTAGCAGCTCATTCTTTTACTTCTTTGACTATACTTTTGTGCTGTACAAAACGAAGGGCGAATGCCGTTCACAACAATTTGACACGCCAGCCTACCCAACAAGCCTTATCTGTCTCCATTTGATGTTCAACTTAGTTCCAAGTCTTTTGGATGTAAGTCTTGTGCGGTTCTTTGCGGTCTTCAGCAATTGTTCTGATGACCATGCCTTGATGCCATCTTTCGAGGTGGTACATCACTCATGTAGTTTGGTAATCAAGAAAACTGTAGCTCTTGTTGTGGGATGTCATTCACTTCCAATGGTTGTTACCTCATCTCTAGTTTATTGTAATGGTATATGTGTAATATGGATTAAAATTGAACACTTTGAGAGATTAGATAGGTTAGAAAAGGCATCGAACCGAATCCCTCCACTCCACATGAGTAAGTCTTAACTTTCATTCCTGTACGTGAAAGGTAAAAACAAATTCGTCTACATGAAACTTCTTCTCCTCAAAACTTGCAGAAACTCTTAAAGGCGAATTGACACGTGCTCTTCACTCTCCAGTTTCTTCTTGTATTTAGCTAATTGCTTGAAATTCCATGTCAACAGCATCCTTGTCTCTCATCCTCTATGTCCGTGGTGGACAGCTCAAAACATTCTCCATCCTATTATCTCTTACCATATGAAACTTCACGTCCACAAATAGTGCAATGTTTATCGTCCATGCTCATGTGAAGCAAAATTGCAGACTTTGAGTAAAGGCGATCTTTGTATCTTCAGTATACATACTAACAAATGACCAACCTGACTTCAAATGATACAAATTTTGTTCCTCTGGAATCAGTAATTTCATCTTTGCGCATTTGTGGATGTGTGTATTCATGTGGGTGTAAACACTCCAACCCTATCAATCATCAAAAACCATCGCAGAGTTGTCTGGAAGTTTGTGCAAAATTATCGTTCTTGTTCAAATGATTATACCTACTACAAACAATTCCATACCGCCCAATATATGCAAGATGACATAGTGAATTATATAAGACATAAAGAGCTGATTAAGTGTGTATGACACCGTTTTTCTTCAAAACATACATTTGTTATCACGACTTAAATCTAATCCTACGTTAGGGACTAGACATAGCACTTAGAGTAGATTCCGCAGTTAGTGACTTTTGCACTCGATATGACATGACTAAAATCACCATAGTCATAGCTATGGATCTTGCAGTCTATAGATAAGTGATTTTGCAAATTGCAAGAATTGTTCAATGTGAAACACTCTATTTTTTTGGGAACTCAGGTGTCCTTTACCTTTTCACGCGTAAGTTGCCAGTAAATTTTCATCAGCCACTTTGAATTTTTCTAACTAAAGCTTTGTGATAGCATTTTTGTACTTTTCATCACAAATTTGTCTAAATAGTGAGTTATGGCAAAAAATTGCATTATCTCACTACTATGTCCATACAACAATTTGTATACTGTGATATTTTGACAATAATGTAAGTTATTATGTGACTTGTATGTGCCAAACAATGATCATTTCATTTAAATCAATATTCTCATTTTATGTAAAGATTTGAATTATATATGTAGTTTTGCTTGAAAAAAAATCTAACGCATTTTGGTAGTAATCAATCAGATTGAATTATTGATTTGATGATGATTATTTAAAAATATTATTATTATTATTATAAATTAGAAATAATTTAATATCAGGAAAAATCATTTGTAATATTAATTTTTTATATAAATTTTGACATACATATTATATAGAAATTTTGAACCTTTATACCTATTCATAATTTTCGATACATAATCATTATAGTTGTATTGCACATTCAATGTCATGAGTCATATTTTGAATCTGTAAACAAATGATTATATGTTAATATATCACTTTAATTTTAAGAATTGAAAGTAATAAACGTATAGTATTTATTCTACTCTATTGAATATGAAAATAATATAATTATTCACATCAACTTATAACATTTGATAAAATGCTACACTATGTATTCTAATGCATCAAACATATTATTATGAAGTCAAATAAGTATTTCAAGAAGCATATGATATGGCGTAACATGTAATTATTCAAAAAAATAGATTTTATTTGCAAATGTAATTTTCTACTGTAATTTCTACTTTATTTCTAACAGAATGGATAAAAATCTATCATTATCAAATGTCATTAGTGTGTTTATTAATTATTGTTATTATTTGCATTAAAATTCAAAAAATCAAGAAACTGTTTTAATTTTCATTCATTCCTTTTGAACATACTTCCAAAACATGAAATATATGTGCATATACTTACAGTATATAAAAGAAGGAAATATAATAAACCTTAAATTATTTTACAAAAAATACATTCAACAATACGAATTTAAAATCATGTTATTATAAATTTAAATTTAAATATTAGAATAAAGATAATTTTTTAAAAATTTAGAAGATTTTAAAAATAACTATCTTAAATACTACTAAAAGGTATTTAGTGGTATTTAAGATACCACAAAATGCACCAAATGGAAAACAAATCATCATGGAGGATCAAAGGTCTGCTCTTACCAAGAGCTACACATCAGGAAAGTGTATTTATCAGTATCTCCAATGTTGAGAGAGAAGTGTCATATACATTTTACCAAATGTAGTTTGGGATCTTTTTTTTTTCCACTATCGACATGAGTCATAATTTATGACTCATAAACTGACCACGATGGAAGCTTTCACCATTGTAACAAAATCTGATCGTACCTTCTTCATGTTTGTTAGTGTCTCCGCCTGCCATCAACATTTCATTGGTTCGGTAAACTGCGACCTCCTCATTAAGCTGAAAGACTGGCATATAATACCAAAAGTAGACAACAAGCGAAAGAGGTTGACAATAGCCCCCATAAATAATTGCATAGCATGAGAGGGCAAAACAGCCCGGATTGGGAAAAAGACTCCTGGATGTATTTTTATTGTCAATATTCAACGGGGTTTTGGAAATGTTCATTTTAAGTACATAAGCGACAAATACGCTTTACTACATGAGAAAGGTAATTGCCCTTTGATCACTACCGATGTACTACTCGTAAATGGCAATATACGAACGCAACAAAGACCAGATGTATGTCGTATCCACCGCAAGAGAGGCGAGCTATCGACTTGGACTCTGCTCCTAAAGAAAGGAGAAGAGTTCTTTCCTGTTTAAGACCAACGCCAAAATGTGAACTAATTTCAGAATCATCAAAGAACATTGCCACGGCAAATCATAGCGAAACTCTCAGACACTGATGCGTGACGCGGATCATTCTTTTGTGCCACCACTGTGTGTAACCGTCATCCGAGGATGATCCTGATCGTCGTTTGCATGATTGATTCCTCATCACGTGATTGTCATGCGAGAAGTCGGTTCTTGACGAGTCCCTGTTTGTCGGTTCTTGGCAATACCGTGTTTATCAGTTCAGTGACAGGTTGTTGAAAATTGACTTCTCTCTGGTAGGTAGCTTAGAGGATAAAGTAAGTTCACTGCGGATAGATCAGGTATATTGGCTTCGACGTGTCTTCTCATTTGATTGTGTCGGCAGAGGAATAACTCAAACTTGATCGAACTTCGAAGTACAACATGGACAGCTGTGTTGCACAGCGCACACTCGAAGCTTCATCAAAAGTGCAGTGTTGCAATGTAGTAGACAAGACAAGACGTTAAGTTAGTAACCGATTCGGCTCCCGACAAGTTATCTCTTCCTCCACATAATCGCCAAACACCAGCGGCAAACCATTATTCCTCACCGTTCACAAAGATCACACGAGCGGCACACAGAGTTCGCCGACATAGATTATACTGATCTCGGACATTACTACAACAATGGGAACTATTCGATCTTGCAAGGCATCAAAGTCTTCATCATCTCCGCTGCGATCCATCTATCAACCTGATCTACGTTCAGTGTTGAGCATTTTGAAGAAGATGCTCGTGCAAAATTTGGAATGCGCCTAGTAGGATACAAGAATAGGACTATCGAAAATATTTTCACTGAATGCCAGATCTACAATTACTGATAGGTGTTCGCGCAGAAGAGCCATTACAGGACGCAATCTCTTATGAACACCTCAGTGGTTTCGACACGTTGCTAACTTCTCAAGAACATCACATATTGATGCAAATCATTGCTGAGCTCGAATCTTACCCGAAACTCCAATCTTTCCAATCCACAAAGCAGCGCCTTACACATTAGGTTTACTAATGCTTCGGCAGCGGACAACAGACGCCGAGGGAGGCGAAGTAAAAGAGGAGGAAAACTTATCCACCACTGATAGGAGGAATTATGGCCAATTCGTCACCGTCCTTGACCTCTACGGGATCCGTAATGTAATTGAAGTTCAAAGCAACGACGATACTCTCCCGCATGACCTCCAGGGCCGCAAACCGAGTCGTGAGCTCTGCGACGCAATCGGCAGTGGTAGAACCATCCGCGACGGACAAGTCAAACTCCGAACCTCCAGCGAGCTCTCGAGCTCGGGCAAACAAAAGCACCTTCACTCTCACCTTCTTCTCTACCCCCAGTTCCACACCTTCATCCGCACCTTCCGTTTGCTCCTTCTCCACCTCCATCTCCATCGCCCCCAACCAAACCAAACTGACAATCCAAACACCTCGGCACCCTACAATCCTACACACACGCAAACATCCTCACTCGCATCCTCTCGTCCATTCGGCCTTCCTGCTGCTGCTATTCCAGAAAGCATTCCACCTTCCTTCGCTGGAACTCGCACACCATCAAGAATTCGCGTCAGAATTCCCTTCGGAGTCATCGTCCATTGCGACGAGACTCCGAGAATCTGCGCACAGGGAGGGCACCCCGTGGACCCTACCCTTGGCAAGGACTGAGATCGACGCCGGCTCGATTTCTGGACGGGAGGACAATTCCCTCCAGCTTTCCAAGATTCGGTCCGTTACTGCTGAGCCATCCAAGAAGCTAAAGCGTCCGGCGGAGCATCGTGAGTACGTACCAAACAGGGCGAGATCTTTGGCGAGGCTCAGATGCTTCGCCTGCTGCTGCTGCTGTCACGCGGCCGTAAGCGGCGACCGTGTACTGCCGACGTGTATTTCTCGTACCGGCTCTCTGTTGCCGATAAGCACGTTGCAGAGGATAAAGCGATAAATTTGGACGTAGTGCTGCAACACTTCCGTCTCCGGCTGCCGGTCTTGCAGCAAAAGCGCCACATGGTTCGGGGTGTACCTCCTTCGGGACTTGGGTACGTTTGCGGGACAGCGGTCCAGCCGGGACAGTGCTCCGTTTGGGGACCGGATAGTAGCATGCGGTAGGCTCTCGGCCGCAGCAGCACGGGAATGTGACGAATGTCGTTTGGAAGGTGGTGAATTTGCTCGTTTGTCGTTCTTCGAGAATGAACGCGCTCTCGGAGAGCAGCGGGCAGAGGCGCCGAAGTGCAGATGAAGCTTCTCAACGTGGCGTCTCCGAGAAAGCGAATCTTGCGAGTGCTATAAGGCCAGCGCCGGCCGTCGTCGGCCTTTGTGTCTTCCGCTTCCTGCCCGGCCTTTCTAGCTCTGGAGACGGGAATCGCAAGCAAATGCTCCTTCGCTCGAGAGAATAAATTGGATTCGTCTCGTCATAAGGACGCGGTGAATTGCTCCACAATCGGGTGGCGAGCATCACGGCAATTCTCTGCACAGCTGAGCGTGAGCGTGGAACGAGAGAGTGGGGTTTCATTGTTCGTAGCCATGAGGATCTTCTTGCTGCTGTGCCTGCTGTGTCTCAATGCACAATCCGGGTCTGCCAGATTTGCTCTCAGGAGCCAAGCCACGGCCACGTCTCGAATGCTGTTTGTGTTTGGAGACTCGTACGCAGACACAGGGAACTCACCGAGAACAGGGAATGGATGGAAATTCCCGTACGGCGAGACCTGGCCGGGCTCGGGTACTGGACGCTACTCGAATGGGTTCGTACTGACGGACATACTTGCATCCGAGGCTCTGCACATGCCATCGCCACCCCCTTACGCCCAACTCACCGTGAACTCAACACTGGCCGGAGGCATCAACTTTGCAGTAGCGGGGAGCGGCGCAGGGTACGCATACGGATCACCACCATTTGCGACGCAGGTGGGATGGTTTGCGACCATGGTCAAGGCAGGGTACTTTCAGCGAGAAGCGCTGGCGAGAGCAGTCGTTTTGGTGTCCGTGGCCGGGAACGATTATGGCGCCTACAATGGTTCCACGCTCCAAGGATATCTTGCTCTCGCCCATGACGTGGCGCTGAAGATTGACCTCGGGGTGCGAGATCTCTACAGCCTGGGGGCCAGAAACTTCATGGTGTCCTCCTTGAGCCCGCTTGCTTGCACCCCGGCGCGGACATTTCCGTCGAATTACTCAGCTTGCGAAAAGAACGTCACCGTCGACGAGGTGGTGTCGACACACAACTACCTCTTGGGAAACAGGCTGAAAAACATAACTGCAAATCTGAACGATACAAGCATTGTTTACTTGCAGCAGACCGCAGCGATGGAGCGCGTTTTGAAAAATCCATCTTTGTTCAATCTCACGGAGGGTATCCGACCATGCTGCGTCGGCCTCTGCAGTCAAATGTTGGCCGGGGTTCCCTTGTTCTCGCTCTGTGAAAATCCTGACCAGCACATGTTCTGGGACAACATTCATCCCACGCAGGCCGCTTGGAAAGCTGTTGTGAATCTGTACATGAACGATACTGCCTTCACCCAATTTTCCCCATCCCTCAAAGAATGGCTCCACACTCTACCGTAGCATTATTAGATTCGTGAACGAATTGCTCAAACGTTATCTGTCAGACAGATTCCAGCCTCCGGCATCCTGAAACTTTACAACCAGCGAGAGCTTCCATACTTCCAGACATGTTGACAGCTCCTCGAAACCCTTTCCTGTATTTCGTGTATTTTAACGCTTAGGTCAGTTCATGGACGGTTCTCGTTCTAGACGGTTCTCGTTCACGTTAGTTCTGTAGTGCAGGAACCACATTCGGTTGCTTTCCAACAAACATCAAAGTAAAGAGAGATGTACATCTAAAACTTCTGGCGTGGCAAACTGTTGCGTGCGTTGGCTTCTGCTGTCATGAGCACTCTCAATCTTGGAACTACGTGTTCGTTCTTGGCATTCGTACTCGTCAGAAACGACTGAAAGCCGCATGCTTCCCAGCTAGAAATTCGGTTTCCTTTATGAATTACCAGAAATTACATTGTGATATTAAAACAAATAAACTTTTGCATTTTCGTATAATCTCGAAGCACTCATCGGAAAATATCTTGATAACCATGCAACAGGGTATTTCGAGGTATTTTGCTATCTAAATATAATAACGAATAGCAAAAAGGAACGGAAAAAGAATACCTCATATAGTAACACAATAACCCATACATTTGTTATATTCCAATTCCATCACAATTGTAAATATATACTCCTGAAATATGCTATCTATATATTTTAAAGTGACGATAGAATGATGACAACTACCACTGATTGGTTTGTTATGAATTTCACAACTAGAACGTTGTTCATTGTTTTACAAATATCCACTTTAGCCATAGTTGATATCCAAAACCTTATGAGAATGATAACTATGCAAGCTTTTATTTTAGACTTTCAATCATACTCTTATATAATCTTACTGATATACCAAGTTTTGAATAAGCAAAATATTTCTTACTAAATATATCTATTTATTGAATTTCTTTCTAGTTGATTAACTCTAATATACATGTGATCGATGATATAGTTAAACCAATTCATGAACATATATTAATAAGTCTTATAGATTACAGTAGACTCCCGCCTAAGTATGCATTATTTTTCCCGCAAAAAGAAATTAGATTTATTGAGTTAAACATTTCATTGATTGTTATTTGGTGTAAGTTTTGAACATTCTTTTGTTTGGATTTCATAATGACAGGCTAAACCTTTCTTTAAATCATTTTAAACAACTTTTCAAGATAATTGAATGATATCATAGTATTAGAGCAACAAGTTTCTAAAACAATAACTTGCTTATATAGTGATTCAATTCTTAAATGAAATAGTTTTCTTTGTAGCATCATCAGACATTAAGACAGATCTATCTAAGAATTGCTTCCACTTGTTGCAAACCTTTCTTATAGCTCCTTCACTATTCTAGTACTTGTGCTATACCTCTTGCTCAGCTTTGCTATGATTTCACATATATGGGATTCATTAACGATCTTGTCTGATTTTTTTGACATTGTAGCCAAATCAAGTGATTCGTCATAAATTCGTCAATGATAGGCTAAGTAAGCAGGATACTCCCAACTTCAAGTTGCATACTCAGGTGAATTTAATGTATAAGGAAATATTTCTTTGTTAGAAACTATTTTAATATTCAAAAAAAAAGTATAAAATTTTTTGATAAGTAAAAGTCAAATAAAGATTGAGCAACGATAGTTTCATGTTTGAAGAATATCAATATTATTTTGGAATAGGTTGTAAGCAGATTCATTGATTCAAATGAGATTTTTGTATATTTTAATCAAGCTTCAAAATTTATCTTTCTTCATCATGATATATATTTTTTATTTTATTTTTGATGCTTAAATATCTCAATATTATTTTCTATTTGATAAAATGTGTAATATTTTTAAGAACGTCAACGTTTTTTATGTTGATGTTGAAATAAATATGATTGGAAAAAAAATCAAGAGTTACAATATAATTTCTAACCATGTTTTTAAAATGATTAACAAATGTATTTTCAATTTTATGTCATATGTTTTTAATTGAAATATGATATGAATTGAAATATTCTATTTTTCATATATGACACAAATAAATATTGCATGTCAAACTTTCAATTTATGTTCATACTACTTGTCTTTAATACACTTCATTTTTTCTTTCTTTTTTTCTTTCTATCAGAACAATTTTGCAATGATACCGTTTTACTTGTTACATAATATCTTATGATGTAAAATTTTTCTTAATCATCTCAAGATTTAAATTGATGGAAATTGAAGATGGAAATTCATCTTATTTCCCTGGAGCTCTATCTTCTCATGAAAAGCAAGAATGTAATGAAGTGATGCAAAAGGATATGATATCATTTCTTGCCAACAACGCTTGGAAACTTGTTGAGTTGCTCCCAAGGAAAAAGGGTGGTAGATTGTAAATGAATTTACAAGGAAAAGGATATAGATGAGAAAATCTTCAATTCTAGATCGATAACCAAGGGATTCACACAATGGAAAGGTGTGGATTACAACAAAGTTTTTGCACTAGTAGCAAAGTACCTACAATACGTGTGCTATGTGGGCTTGTGATTCTATATAATCTAGTTTTTGATCATATGTACATTATCACAACTTCTTTCCATGGACGATTCGATGAAGTGATATTCATGTGGCAATCCCAAGATTTTTTTATGAAAGTAATGAACGGCATGATATCCATGTAGCTTAAATTGTTATGCGGTTTAGAGTAATATCCTAAACAATGAAATAAACGCTTGAACAAATTCATGCACTCACAAGAATTCATACGTAGTGTATATGATTCTTATGTTTACTTGAAGAAGATTTTGATGTGTCATTTGCGCTTATCATTCTTGTCTTGTATAGAGACACAAAGGATGCAATTTTGATAAGTTGAAATCTTAGGTGAATTCAACCTTGAGCATGAAGGTTCTAGGTTCAACCAAGAAGATTCTTGGTATGAAGGTATTTAGGGATCAGAAAGCAGGGAAGCTTTGGTTATTTCAACAAAAATATGTAGAGAAGTTGCTTGCCAAGTTCAACATGGCGGAAGCAAAACCTGTGAATACTTCATTGGTTGCTCATTTTTTACTTTTAGCAGCGCAACGTTCTAATGATGTGGTTCAGAAAGTTTTAATGTCTTCTATGGGAGTGCAGTAAGTAGTTTCATGTATTTGATGGTGTGCACAAAATCAAATATAGCTTTTGTTGTAGGCAAGGTGTGCTGCAACCTTCGGGCTGATTTTCACTCAGGTTGACCTCAGATGGCTTTGCGATAGCTGATCATGATTCTAGAAGACTAGGATTATACCTCATAGTCATGTCCCAACACACTCTCACACATTATTTGAATTTATCACTAAATTCACTCACACATCGACATTTCAAGATCCAAAAAATTGTTACTCTTTCATGTATAAAACAAGTGTCTACACATGAACTTTCTAAACTTGCTTGAGAAAATTTTCCTTACCCCTCTAAATATACTACTTGAGAATTTATTATAGTAAAAAATGATAATTTCTATCTAATTTACTTTTACAAAAATAAATCATAGTAAGTTTTCAATACGTGATAACATATCATTGGACTCCTAAAACTTCTAAATGTATACTAATTTCTAGATTGAGGTGGCGACATGCCATTGATGCTTTTTCAACTTCTAGAACCTCCACTTGTCACTAAGTCAATATTAGACTTAGTCAAATTAATGAAGTACCCATTAGTTAGTAAAACCAATTAAAAATAAACACGAAGTCAAAAATTTTTCCTCTTGGAATCTAGATTTTTGTACAAAATAAAATAAAAATGCTTATTCAAATCTTCTAGAACTTCATTATTTATTTCGCCAAGTATGGAGATCATAGTTATAACTTGATAACTTAGTCATAACTAGCTATATTTAGTCATAGCTAAACTAACCATGATTAATTTCTATGCTACTTTTAGTTCTATTTCACACATACAACATTCGATCTTACAATGCAGGTACATTTAATCAAATCAAAGAAAGATGCATTGGGAAGTAGTGAAGTGGATACTTAGATATTTTAAGTATTCTACACGACATGGCTTATCGTTTGATGCTAAAGCAATGAATGCCAAATCAATTTTGGAATATGTGGATGTTGATCATGAGTGTGACTTAGATAAGAGAAAGTCAACGATTAGATATGTTTTCACTCTTACATGTGGCTGCATTAGTTGGAGATCTATTCTTGGAAAGTGCATTTCTTTGTCATCACGGAAGCAGAATATGTTGCAGTAATAGATGTTATCATCTTTAGTTAGTTGGAACTAAAGTAGAGTTTACTCAAAATTGAGTAGAGTAGATGATAATGGTATATCTACAGTGCCATGTCAACAATCCGTGTGCTAGTTAGTGTGTTAGTTGGGAACGACATGTTATCAATTATTGTGTTTGTTAGATAAGGATTGAGTGTGCTAGTTGGTATGTTAGTTAGTAGTGACACGTTAGCAATCCGTGTGACCTTTAGATATATCTGCCATATCACCAATCCAATAGGAGTGGATTGGATAATGGGAACGAGATACAATCTCATTGTACTTGTTGGTAATAACTATATAAGGGAGAGCAAACCATTGTTGGTATCTATCATCTTCAAAGTTTATATTTCCATCTTCGAATGAATTTCTCTCTAACTCTAGTGTTATAGTAGAATCAACGAAGTAAACAATCTAAATGAACAAGCTTATTATTAAGATGGGAACAAGCTTATCAAAAGAATATCAATCTTCATTGTGATTGACATTAGTTAACACTTTATCAAGCATAATGTGTCCGAGAACGCGCTTAAGCTCATCAAGATTGATTGAGAGCTTAACCCGGCTGATGGCTTTACTAAGGTGATTCTTCTGATAAGTTTTCAAACACCGTGCAACTTTGCAGATTTTGAAGCACTGAATTAGATTACATGATAGTTTCCATGCATGTACTTTCTCTGACATGTTGTTCATTACAGTTTAAATCTAGTTAATCCTTGTTCATAGAAGTAAAATTATGATTGCACTTTTTAGATTTCTTGCTGAAACTTTATATGGATCATAGAAACGGTCTAAGATTTGAGTTAAGGGGAAGTTTGTAAGGTTAATCCGCGTCTTGTTAACCATAGTTAGTCTAAACCCTTGTTGGGCTTAGTCTCTAGTTAGAGCATGGGATACTTATACCAAGCATCACTCTCACATGTTGTACTCTAACAAAAATCATTTACTTCATCTATTAACCTTTTATCAACTGATTTTTCTCTAAAGGTACAAAAAAATATACTTGATTTGATCAATAGTTTGGATAGAGTCAAAGTGTTTGTTGATTAATTTATAAGAGTAGAATTGACTAAGTGACATCATTCTCCATCCAAAAATTGTAAATTGAATAGGGAAAATTGCCACTTTTGAAATTTTATAGAAATATCACTGAGAAACATCACAATACTTACATATTATCTTTGTGAAGTCAACTGGTCTACGCAATCATTTTATAGAAATTCAAAAAAATTTACAAATACATTTTAACGTAAAGTCAGATGACTGACTGACTTTAATAACGTATAAATTGTTTTTGTAATTCTATGATAGCACAATTTTAAGAATATGATAATCTTAGAAATTGTACATGTATAGTTAGTCTTGTCAACATCTCGTCAAGTGTTATTCACACTGGAAAAGATGTTGGAAAGAGAGGAACACCTTATGATGAACGGGCATTAGGAAGTGGATACTCAACTAATTTTGTTTAATGAAGTAATTAGAGCAAGACAAAGATACCAAAGTAAGTGTGAAACATTACGTCGGGAAGGAAAGCATTAGAGTGTCACCAGTGGGAAAGACGGGTAAGATGACAATGTACGGATCTCGTACTCTCATCATAATGGTCAGTAGGAAAATTCCCATGTTGAAAAAATGCAAGAACATGGGAATAGCTTTCATGTGTGCCGATGAGATCTCATGCATCGAAAAGTTGTGTGAAGAAGTGAGTCGGTTGTGAGTAGAGCTCAATTAGAGAAGTGGGTTGGGCTAAAACTTGCTCTTCAAACCAATAGAGTCGTAGGAACTTTTTTTAAATACATATGAAAATTTATTGATCGAACATTATGGTTTGCATATCCTAAGGTATGATTATACTCACGCGTTACCATAAGTTTACCTTAGGAGAAAAATGAAGTAAGGGAACAGACATGTAAGATATATTCATAATACGCTCAGTTCTTTTGAATAGGAAAATTCACTTTTTATTCATATTCCATAAAAACTCCTAACATATATAAAAATTGAAAATTGAAAAGCTGTTCAAATTGATATTTTAGTATATGCACTCCTGTACTTCTTTTGATGATCGAGAATATACCTTATGCCGAAATTTCAAATCAAACTATCGAGCTACATGGCAACTAGTACCTGAATCAAGTCGAGTATAGAGTTTCACCTCCCAATAGTCCTACACTTAAGGGTCACTACTTGGAGGTGTCACTTAGAGGAGGTTTCGTAGCTTCAAGGTTTAACTATAGAGTGTCCGACATTAAAGTGGTCCACGTGTGCCACAAACTTCTTCAAGTTCATTGCCTGGCGCGTTTTATTCTCATTGTTTGGCGCGTTTTTTCTCCACCAAAAGAACCTTAAGACAGACCTTCTCTTCCTTCTGCTGGACCGGGCGGAATAGAAACTCTACTGACTTCCCTAACACACGAGACAATTTCATGGATACAGTTTCACAGCCCTTAGTGAGCCTTGACATTCACGAATTTCAAACATGTTCAAACATAATCTAATCTGACATGAAAGCTTCAAAACGTACAAGGAAATATTTACATTTACATGTTGCTACAAAGAGAAAAAGAGAAAGAGAGAGTTATGTGATGACATAACATCTGGCGCATCTCTGAACTGACGCAATGACATGAGATTTCTTGGTGAGGACATCTAGATCGTGAAGAACGCTATGGAGTTTTCTTACGAAGCTCTGTTATAAATTCTGTTACGAGGTCTGTCGATGAGTACATCTAGCTCGTGAAGAATGCTCTGAAATTTTCCTCCGAAACTCTATTACAAACTATGTTACGAGGTTTGACTTTGAGTACATCTCGTTCGTGAAGAATGCTCGGAAATTTTTACTACGAACTCTGTCGATGATCTGAAATAATTTTGTTAAAAATGTAGAAACATGTGGCAAATATTTGCCATTTGCCACGGACCATAAACATTTGAGATGTTATGTCACTATTAGAAAATTGTGACGTATCGTTCTTATTTGATAGATTTTCAAACTAGTACCTAATGGTTCTTCACTTTTAAGTCACTATTGGGAGGATGTCACTACTAAGAGGAGAAACTATTGGGAGGTGAAACTCTGTACCCAACGAGTATCTGAATCAACGAGTACCCAATCAAGTCAAGATGAAACCTGAGGCCAGTCCCCAATAGCATGACTTTCGTAGCAACAGAGAAGGCAGCACTAAAAGTGCAGTAAAAACAACAGAGATCGCTCAAGGTAATCCCGAACTTACCATAGAAAGTAAACATGCAAGGAAAGTAGATGGATACGGTGCCACAAGATTACAGTACACTCATCGCAGGCCGACCCTTTCGGTGTCAGCTGACCCGCCCCTCCCCGACCCGACCCGACCCCGATACAGCTCAGCACAGACTGAGCCCATGATCCAGTCAGCCGGGGCCACTCCACTCACTAACTCGTGTGCATCTGACTGCCTGCTAACCGACTAACTCTCGGATGCGACTTGGGGCGGGTTGAAACGTCGAGCGGCGACGACATTCACACAAGAAGCCCAAACAGTTTGCCCGACGAAGAAGAAGAGGCGAGAGGAGGTGCCCGGCAAGGCCAAATCCTCGGAGCAGCCGATGCGCATCGCACCGCCTTTTTTAGGAGGACGAGGAGTGGGAGGGCAGCGGTGGGGGTGGGGATTTTAAGCAGATATTATTTGGCGCCCGGACGAAGGAGGAAGGGGAGATTACGGAGAAGTTGGGGTGTACTGTGGGATTGTCAGTGAGGAGGAGGACTGTGACAGATAGTAGGAAGAGGAGGAAGAGAAGACAGGACGAAGAAGACGCAGAAGAGAGGTTCCTATGGCAGCGAGGTCAAGGGGATTGGTGTTTTTCGGACAGAGATTGTTGATTAGTTCTCGGGGAGGCTCTTCTTCTGTCGTTGCCTCTTGCAGTGCTTCAGATTTGGGTTGTAAGCGGTATTGCTCCGGTCCTTCTTGGGAGGATAGTGCAGATGGAGAAATGGACATGAGTCCCAGCAGGCGCTTAGAGCAGGCACTGCAAGAGATCAGAATTCAGAAAGCGGCCCCAGATTGGTTGCCCCTCTTCCCCGGAGGTTCGTTTTGGATCCATCCCGACCAGATCGCGAAAGAGCCCTCCAAGCCATCAGGCCCCCTGCTGGAACCAGCGTCTGAGAGGGAGATCTTTGCCATGGTTGCTCCTATGGGTTGGCCCTCTTCTTCATCCGTGGATGATGGTGAGTGTGTCTGCCTCCTCTTCTTGGGTGTGAATTGTATCCGATGGTTCTCGTTTCAATATCGTATCTGGGTTGTATTTGGAAAAGTTCTTGGATTTTATAACTCTTTGCCATCTGTATGCATTCAGATACTGGCTTGTCAGTTACAAGAAGAATTTCATTTTTAGTCACTTGCCCGACTTATTGATTGAATCTCGTGACGAAGCTCAGGCTTCTTACTTGATTGTTTGCTTCCTACTTAGTTTGGTTACAAGAAGATCTTCATTCAAAACCTGAAAACTCCTTATAGGCTCTTTAACCACTTTGAACATGACTTTTCAAGTGTTGTTTACAATTCATTGCAGAGATGACAGAATTTTATTTCCTCAACTGTAGTATACTATCCTGATATTTTTTCCTTTGTATGACGGCCAAATATTTTGACTGTGTTCAGTCGATTGTTGAGCCCCCAAAGTGTTGTTTTTCTGCAGCTATTAGGTCTAAATTTTTTCTAGTAATGTGGACTGGTATTACAAATGTTTGACTTTGTTCGGAGGTGTCATCTCATCTGTAACCTTTTACTTATGTGACTCAATCTAGCGCACTAACGTCTTTTTACAATAGGCTGGGCTCAGGTTTTTTGCAAATGTTTTAAAGTTTGCAAAAAACAAGACAATGACAATGTCCCAAGACAAATCCTTGTGCGATCTATTTTAAATTAGTCCCTGCCTGTCCTGTCGTTCTTTCAAAGATTATCGCAGTACAAAATATTCCCAAAGGTTATCGCACTGTTTTGTACCGGGATGAGAGAACGGTCTCTGACCTCAGGTACTATGTCGCCCTTAAAGGGGTTCATTGAAACCCTAGTCTATAGATTGTCTTCTTCATACACTTAGGGAGTGAACTATGTCCCTTCTGGTGTCTTACGTAGACATTTGCTTCTCAGGTTGTTTACTATGTAAGGAAAGTACGCACTTTGCATTATATAATGAACGAGTTTGTGTCAGGTATAGTTTTCTATCATGCTGAAATTAGGATCCTTCAAGTTTTGAACTCAAAACTTATGATATTCTGAACTCTCTTGGAGCAATTGATTAGGTTGTAAGCAGTTGATATAACTCTAGATCAACAGTGCTTATGACTCCAATGTTTTAGCCATAGCTTGCTACGACTCCCTTTACCCATTTGAGATGAGACTCTACATAGCACTCCGTATTCCTTGCCTTTGAGATTAACCTAAAGTCCAGCTAAGTTGCTGACTCCACCCCAACTTTTCAACAATTCACCATTCAAAAATGTTGTAAGTACTTGATAAAAAACCATTGCAAAGTGATACTCTGACCTGTGTTATTTACAGCCGGACTAGCAGTATTTACAGAATTCCTGGTTCAAATGTGAGCTTGAGAAACTAACTTGAAAACCTCTTTTAGGTAGCTGATGGCTGCTTTTCCTATTTGAGCCTCAAAGTTAAGTAGTAGTCACCTTTGCAACAGTTAGTAACTAACCTGTACAATTGCTATCGTACTGCTAAATACAGAGAGGAACTGACCTTGAGGTCAACAATTACACCATGGACGTTCGTCACTACTGTTGTTACTTGCTAGAACTGATGTCGTAATTATGATTATGAACTGCCGTTTTCTCTTCTCGTAAGTTTGAAGTCTTCCTTTGAAAAGCTCCTTATCGAAGGGAGTGTGGTCGCTAGGAAACTATCTGAAACCAGAGCCTTAGCTGAGAAAGAGCCTTTAAAGTCTTTGTATTGTATGCATGGATAGAATGGTCATTTCAGGCCTTCTACCTCTGATTCGCCCGCTCTCATGCATCGATGACTTGCTCGACTATTTTAATTTACAACTGGATACACCAGTTCAAAGATTCTGTTGCTGTTGAAATCTTTTGTAGTGATGTGAGTTTTTGAAAGTTCTTGCTTGCGTGTTATTGAAGATGTTATTGATAGGAATCACTTGTTCAAAATACTAGTCGTGTGACAGATTGATTTACAAGGGGGGCTTCTGATATCCCTTATTATAAGTAGCTGGTGACTTTTGTGCTCTGCTACATTTTTGCCACCAGTTGGACTTAAGTGTGCACTTTTAGTCTAGTGTCGGAATAGTAGTTTTTCCCACAGTTATTAAGATGGCACCTGATTGGGTGTTACCATCTTGCTACCTTTTTGGTTCCTTTAGGAAGAACTCCAGTGGTAGAAGTTGTGGATGCTTCGGCGTCCTCATACGGATCGACAAATGAAGAGGAGTTATTGGCCGTGTTGGTTCCATCAGGTTGGCCCGAGCTTTCATCAGCTGCGGAAGGTGAGGGTCCCTTCTCAGTCACAGTAACATATTGACGTGAGTTCGTCTTAAATGCCTAGATTGCCTCTAATTCAAATTTCAATCTAACGTCTGAAACAGATCGGGGAAAACTTAGAACGGGGAGCTTATGTTTAGTTAGTATTTCTCACTCTTAGTTCAAGACCATAAATCTGTACGGATCGAAGCCACTCACTCCGGGCATTGAAATTATATAATGAAGTAGCAAATTATCATGATGAAGACACAACTAAAATGTCTATTAGTAATCTCATTTGCGAAAATCTTGTAAATTGAACTTGTTTATCACCCCAGGACCTGAAAGCGCGTCTTCATCACAACTCTATTTCGTACTAAAATTCCAACTAAGCAAATTTCTCTTGGCTTAGTTGTTAGCAAAGCTCAACCTGAGTCATGACAGGAATACTTTAATCGTTGATGCGGGAATGTTAGAAAGAATCGGACTTGTGGGTAGAGAAGAAGGTTATGGAAACTTGCTTGTTTTGTTGGTTATTTGTTCGATTTCCTTGAACAATCTTACTATTTCTAATTGTCTTGAGGTTTTATTTTCTATTGCTGTTGTTGATCCGGGGCGGTAGACTACCAATTAGCTTACAACATTGTTGTTGGTATGCATTTCGTATGTACTTCTGTTCATCTTACCGCGTGGAGATATGACTGTGATTTGAACATCATGGCTCATGAAACTAACCTTTCCGTGCAGTCATATTTGATCATCAATCTCTTTGCTTTCCAATTTTTTTATTTTCATCCAGATTCCCTTGGATCGTATCTGAATCTGTTGTATGGTGGGTTCTGTTTCAGCTTTGTGCCCTGAACCTGAAGGTGGTTATTGAGCATACTTCTTATTCAGAGACGAATTTTCCAGTTATTCATTGCCGAGCAAGCAGCAACTGGAGAAATTGTACATTGGTGCACAACCACACGGGATGTACTCTTAGTGGTTGTTTGAGAGTAGTTGTGTACATATTCCATTGTCATATATTTGTAAAGGAACGAACATCTAGGACTTGTGTTGGTTCAGTCGGACATTTTCGATTCCTGTAGAATACCTGATTGTTCGCACCTCGTAGACACAGACTGATAGATGATTGTAAATTGAGCGGTCAAACGAATACTCGCTATTTCGTTGTGCACTCATCTACTTTCCATTCTGTTTTAGTTACACCCAGCTGGGTACTGCGAACAAGAACTCTAGGCTCACCTGAAAATCATTTTGATATAACCTAGCCGCAGTGATTATTTGAGTTTTAAGGGTTCATAAAATATGTTAGGATTTTGCAATCTACGCTGACGATTGATATCGAGGAGAAGGCAGACATCGTTCTTATTCTAGGGCGTTTAGCAGGGCGAGTTGCTTGTTTATGCAGTTATAAGATTCTTCATTTCACCCTCTTGAACCTACTTAGTTGGTGATCTTTTCAACTTCTTGAGCATCTCCTTCTTTAGGATTCAGACAGGCTGGGCACTTGAAGATCTTAGGGTTGGGGTTTCTGCGTTGCATAATCGATCAGATTTTCGATTCGAACGGACAAAACTTAAGTGCAAACTTTCAAAATGTGAGTGTGCTATACATTTGCACGAAATGTGCACAACCTCGTCCAAGCTTCTGTATTAAGTAAGAAGTTCAATATCAAAAGAAACTCCCATTTCTCCATTGAGCTCTGAATGGTTTGTGTGACAACCGATTGTGTTTTTCCCGTGATTGGGGAAAGATCAACTGAGGTTTTTTACAAACGCGGGAAGACCACCTGTGCTAGAAGCATTATTTGCCAAGGCAGTTTATATTCAGGCTAGTTGTGGTAGAAACTATCACTTTGCACTCTATGCTTGCAACTCGCCCCTTTGTCCTCGTCTATCTCATATTCTTGATCCCACTGCCTCCTGTATCAGTTGAGTGAGGTCCGTCGCGCCGCAAGATAGAGTCGTCGATCTGTTACTGCTTCATGAGGTAGGGTGCGCAGGATTTTTTCTCTTCCATCTTTTTTTAATTTTACTTCACTGTAGCCCATGTAGTTTGATCAGAACCGAAGCTCTTGCTTGCAGCTTCATTTGGTCGAGATTATGATTTTGTCCGTCCATCTGCATCAGTGTAGGAGGTGCAGTTTTCTCTACTACCAGCTGGCTTTGGGCTGACCTTCTGCATTCTCTGTTGGAATCACACTGGAATTACAGTACCTTGTGTTGGACCAGCCGCATGTTGTGACTACAAATTGGGTATTGAAATGTCACAAAATGTGAAGTAGAATAAGAAGGGTACGCTCGATTACTCGTTCCCGATGTCTATCAACGTTAGTGGTCGGGAATATGACAGTTTTGTACACTTTATAACTGCCATAGTTCTCACGATCTTGGTAAATAGATGGACTTTGATGGAGAGAGAGAGTGAGTCCATGCCATGTATAAAATCAAGAGAAATATGTACTAAGTGATACACTGTAGTGACCACTAACTAGTTACAGGAGCGATGTCAATCTTTCCGGATGAGAGTCATATGAGAAGAGTATTAAGGCCGAGCATCGAAACAAACCAACATGTGTCTTTTCCAGGGATCCCGTCCCAAGTTCCCAATCATTTTCATTCGTGTGGTATCCTTACACATTCTGTTGTTAAATTTTAGCCCTTGTTGTTCCGCTATAGTAATTACAGCTATACACTCGAGGTATTGTGAGAAAATCACTTGATAGACCCTCCGGAACACACTTAGGTTACAGGACCAAGTAGCATGTTAACCTATGGGACCGCATCTACGCCACACGTCACCCGCGTTCCCCGTTCCATTTGTTGCGAGACGAACATCAGGATGATACACCTAGATGTCTCCTGTTAGTTTGTGCTTAGTTCATTTTAGATCAAGTGCATCATTGCATTCAACATGTAAACTACATCAACTACTTAACGTTGCTTTCTTTTTAATAACTAATTTAGTTCGCATCTTACAACACGGTATCTCGATTTTTTTAGGATCCTCTATCTTATAACATGGTATCACGACGTTTTTCCTACCTCTGGCAGTTCGTGATTTGTCACAGTAATCATAAATTTCCTTTTTTTCTATCCTCTTGCGATTGATAATTTGTGTTAGTAATCACAGATTTGTGTTAGTAATTACTCGTCGATTAATTACTCCTCATTATTTCACTAGACAGTGAGTATGCTCCAAGCCGTCATGGAAGAAACTTATTTCTCGAGAATAACTTCACCGGTCGACTCAACTACATAAATTGATCCATATGTTTAAAGACTATGCTAAAGGAGAAAGAGTGTATGAAGCCATTCATAGACTCATCTTGCCGGTGCTGAAGATGCTTCTGTTCGGTGTCTACGAATCAAGGCAATTGCAATGATCAGGCTGGCGTATCACTTGATGTACTTTCTTCTATTGCTGAAAAAGAAGACAATTCTTTTGAAATGTGTACTTATCTGCGCACTCTCTATCAGTCTAATAATGCCCAACGGCGCCTTATTCTAGTCAAAAAATTGACTGCGGTCAAGCTTTCGTGCTCTTTTCACAATCCATGTCTATCTTTAAATCATTTAGACGCTCAAAACGCAGCTCGGCCTCGACATCGTATCTTTGATCGTGATTTTATTCACTATACATTTAATGTGCTCCTCTTATCTTGGATTCGTCTCGAATTTTAGCAGCGATCTTTCCCGTGATCCGCCATCAACAGGCCTCTTAATGTTAGGCGTACGCCTAATTTTCCTAATTCTACCAGGAATAGGGGTTTGTAGAATAAAAGATTAGGCGTCTCACAAAATTGCTCTAAAAACATGTTTCGTTTGGTTTGACAACGGGTAACGGTTTATTGAAGATGTGTGTGGAGGTGAGGGCAGGCTATTGGCCTATGGGAGCTTGGTGGAAATGTTCTGGATGAGTAGGCAGTGCAGGATGCCCTGGAGGGTCAGGTCGGACAGGCACTTGCGCCAGACGTCCTTCTCGTACTTGAGATGGGAGAAGTCGGCCTCAATCGTAGAAGTGTTGGGAAAGCAGGAGGCAAAGCCGTCGGAAAATTCTACGAGATCATTGTACTTGCCGTCTAGGCAGGGAATCGCTCACGCGTTGGTAAATGAAAAGTGACCCTCGTGGCACTCCTTCAGTGCTTTCGCCACGAGATCTTGCTTCGCCTCAGTCACGAGCATCTTGTGCTGTTTGCAATTGGCATCGAGGCGGAATTCGGTCAAGTCCGTCGGAAAGTAGACGCTCCTTCATCAACAAGACCATCTGGAACAACTCACGCGACGATAACTCGGCGTACTCCTGTGGCACCGCCGGCGGAATCGCCTGATCGCTGACATCGTTCCTGTCGTCTCGCAACGAAACAATCTGGCCCATCCCTTCGACCACCTCCATGAACAGCTGGCCGACGCAATTCACAACGTTGGACTTGTCAGCTTCATCGAGAAGAGGAAGTTCTGAATGCATCAGAAGTTGAGGCCTTTGATGTGTTCGACGACCTTCTTCTTTGACACGCTGAACAGGCTGTACTCGAGAATGTTGTCCTTGTTGTGGTCGTCGGCCTGCTCTGGATGGATCACGTCGTAGCCAATCTAAAGCTCAACAAGCAGTTCGAAGCGAAACCGCTCAACAGCCTCGTCCTGCTGCGACAGGAGGGTGCCCTTGCCCTGTAACCTCCGGGCTTACTCTCACTTAGGTATACCTCTGATGGCTTTGTGGTAGCGCATCATGGTTCTAGAAGACTAGGATTCATACTCTTACTCATGTCCCAAACAACTTCTCTCACAAACTCTCATGTATCACTCCAACTCACACACAAACTCTCATCACCCTCTTCACATAAACGCAAACACACGTCGATACTCCAAGATACTCAAAAACTTCACTCCTTCATTACTGAAACAAGTCCTCACACATGACTCTCCAAACTTGCTTGAGAGTCTCTTCCCTACCTCTCTATATATACTACTTGAGAATTTACCATAGTAACAAATGGTAATTTCTATCTAACTTACTTTTACGAAGATAAACCATAGTAAGGTTGACTAGTTATCAATACGTGGCAACATGCCATTGGCCCCCTAAACCTTCTAGATGTTTACTAATCCCTAGATTGAGGTGGCGACATGCCATTTGTGCCTTTCCAACTTCTAGAACTTCCACTTTCCACTAAGTCAACATTAGACTTAGTCTAACCAATGGAATACTCCTTACTTTAGTCAAACCAATCAAAACTAAACATGAAGTTCAAAAGTATTTTCTCTTGGAATCTAGACTTTTGTACAAGATAAAATAGAAGTGCTCACTCAAATCTTCTAGAACTTCTCTAGTTATTCCGCCAAGTATAGACATTATAGCTAAACTAGCTAGACTTAGTCATAACTAGCTAGATTTAGTCATAACTATCATAACCATGATTAACTCCTTGGCTAATTCTAGTTTTATTTCACACCTGGAATCTCTGGTCTTACAGCCCTGCATGCTACGGGTCAAGTTCTTGACAGTGAGCGTTAGCGACGACACGGCCGAGTTGATGATCCACCACAATATCGACGGCTCAAACGCCAAGGCCGGTGCATTTTGCGGCTGTTCGGCGTATTGTGGGATGATTTCAGAGCGACGATTGTACATGAAATCCGACATCCCGTGCATGGACTCCCAGCACGTATCTTTCAGCAGCGGGTAGGTGATGTCCATTGAGTCAGTCAGCTTGTACTGGAACCGTAAATGACTGACCGTCTTCATCATTGTAGCCCAGTAGTGGCCGTCGTCTAAAGAATGGTACTGTTACTACATCAAGATGTCGAGCTAGTGTAGCAAGCACCACACATGGAGAAAATTCAGGCGACACGACCTGCCCGATCATAGTCACAAGCCTTTGGATTCCCCCCGTCATGTCGCGAGCGCCGTTTGTAGTGGCGCAGATCAAGGACGTATTCCAAGGTGGACAGAGCACATCCAACACATTGGCGAGGCAGTTGAACTAGTAAAGCCCGGTGTGGCTGCCAGACATCGGTAGCGCGATCACGTGCAAGTTGTACAGGCGGCCCAACCACACGAAACGGGCGCGCAAGTCGAGATAACTGGTACTGAGGCAAGTCGACGCGGCGACACCAATCGAAAACGCCCACAGCTGTGGCATCAGATCCACCAGCACCTGAAATGTGACGGCAGATGTGACGCGCACAAACACCTGTGTTTGCACCTGCGACGGAAATCCCATCCGTTTGTTGCGAGTGCGTTCCTTTGTGACTTCGAGGGCCCGAGTCGCCTGCTTCAGACTCATGCCGATACCGACGTAGTCCGTAATCAGATTGAAAGAGACGTCCGAGGCAATCTTTACTTTGTAATGCGTGTGGGCCACATCCTCGTCGTCCTCGTTGTCATACTCTTCATCATCCGCACGCTAAGATTTCACTTTTTTAAAAATACGGAGTACGTTTTCGCGAGTCTCGTTGAGTTCACCTTCGATGCACTTCTTCCACCGATACTCAGCAACCAGCTTGTCGATGATTTTGGCTTCGAACACGACCTCGAAAGACTTTACGTTGCGACCGGAGTACGCATGCAACGTGTTCACAAATGGCACCCCGCTAATGAAGAACGCGGCCTTCTCATCTTCCGCCAAGGACTGGTACGTAGCCCATTTCTCCGGGTGTTCACTAGTAAGATGCTTCTCAAAGTTTTCCTT